TTTTCCCCGCGCTGTTTTTTTCCCCCCCCCCCATCCTTTCCCATCCCCCTTCTTTTGTTCACGTTTTCTCTCTTTTTAATGGGGTTTTTTTGTTGTTGTTCTGGATTATTTTTCTCTTTCTTTTTCTCATGTCCCTCACTATTTCATTTTCCTCTGTCTCATCTTCTCTCCACTAGTCCATTTGCAGAGGCTCAATTAAAACAGTATTGGCATAAGGACTTTCAGGAGGGTGAAACTGAGAAAGATCCATTAGAAGATACCTATTAAATGACGTTGAGTCTGGCTGTAGCCTCTGTTTTGCGTGACCAAAAGCAACATTTGGGCTGCTGATTTACTTGCTAGCCCTAGCTCCCAGGACATCTGAAGTGGTCCTTCTTGCAATTCAATGCAGCTAAAAGCCTTGTATTGACAGAGAAAAAAAGATTACTCCCTCTTTTCCCCCAGATGTACTTCTTCTGTAGAGCACTAGATTGAACCTGTAGTCATGTAACTTGATTTATTACATATTTTAAGAGAAAGTTGTTTTCAGAGATATTGGTATATGGTGTTTTCCAGTGCTAAGACTTATGCAAAATCCCATGCAAAGCCCATTGTAAGCCCGCCAGTGTAGACTGGCATAGGTGATGCCTCCTCCAGATCATAATCTTAGAGTTTTGCTTGGCTGACCAACATGCATGCTGACTGTGTGCTTAACTGTTTTCTGACTTCAACAGGGCTCAGTCAGATAAAGAAGGAGTCAAACTTCTTTCTGTGAAGACAACTTCTCCTGAGACTGGTGAGTGTTTCCTCTGTGTCTGTCTCTCTGAGCCCAGAAAGGAGCAGTTTTGGAATCTCATTTCCAATATTAAAACCGTCTCCAGTTCCTGTCAGGTCCAAGTCACTGCAACCAATTCCTCTACAGTGCAAATCCCCACATTGGGAGCTGTAGAGCTGCAGTGAAGCTGCACTGTGTGTGGTATTGGTATTTGGAAAAGTATGACTGTTTCAGGGAAAATAATTTTTTAATGTCATTGATGGTAAGTGATCTACAGCTAGGCATGTTCAGGCGTAACTGTGATCATTATATTATCAGTTGATCTGGCTATACAAGGAAGTTTGAGGACTGGTAATATCCCAGGGGCCAAAAGGTTTGGGTGTCAGTGCTGTATGTAAACAGGGCTCTGCTGGAGTTGGTGTTGGCAGTGTTCAGTCAGCCCTGTACCCAGCAACCCTTTGCATTTAACATCCTATTCTCGTTGCAAATTCCTCTGTCCTGTGCTTCACTGATCCAGTTTCTTGCAAAATATGTGTCTAATAAAACCTAAAGGAACAGAGGTTATAGATAACATGCACAAAAGAAAGCAAAATCTTACCAATATAAGCTGAGATGGACGCAGTTATAGGTTTTGCAAGAAAGAGTAGCACAAAATAAGACTGAGGCAGAACAAAATTGTGACTAATCTGATTCCCAGCTGTTCCACAAAAAACCAACCAACCAAACCAAACCACCAAACAAATCTCTCATGATGGAGCTACTCATGGTGAAACTTACCCACTTCATCCATTGCAGTTTGCATCCTCAGCCGTGTAGGTAGCTTTTGCACAGTCCAGAAGACCCACAGGGCATCTCTGGTAGCCCTTGCAACAAATGGGAGTCATGGAGGGTCCTTGCAGCCTCGCAGGCAGAGCAGGCTAGAAGGGGAGGAGAAACATGCTCCATTGCAGGATGCATCGTTCTGCCCCGCTGCTGCTCAGCAAATGCAAACTGCGCTTTGGCACTTGACTGCACTTCAGAGGTTTGTGATTTGGGATTTATTTATTTTTAATATATGTCTTTGGGAATGGACTTTTAGCTTTATTTTAAGGGGTATGGAGTGGTGTGTATGTTTACAGGTAAAAACATAGAGGGTTTTTTTTTTTTTTAAAGCTGAATGAAGTCAGAAACTGGACTTCACAGACCTTTTTTTATTTGATTCTGCCCTCATACCAGTTTCAATGATAAAGTAACTTCATTGGCAGCATCAGAATTATTTGTGTTTTACAACAGGGTAAATGATAAAAGACTCAGGCTCACTGTTGTTTTCACAAGATGAGATCTGGTGCCTGTTAATCATCTACTGGTTCACCAAGTATCTGAATTTCTTCCATCCAGAGGATGCTTGATATTCTTTTTTACTGAAGTATGATGTATGCATGCTATAATTGGAAGGTATGAGTCATAACCACTCAGAAGACAAGATCCTTGCCCTCTTCTCATTAATACAATTCATATTTAAACTAGCTACCATTTTGTCTTGAATTCTTACATCTTTAGATGTTTCAAAATTAAACATGCTTTCACAGAAATGGAAATGTGGGGTTTTCCCCCAGATTTTTAGAGGCACTTTACTTCGTAAATTAAAAGCATTTTGAAAGAGGAGACTGTTTTCTTACAGAAATATTTGTCACTCATACAGGTATTTTTAAATATGTTAGGATGCCTGCCCATTTGAATAAGATTTACTTGCTTCATTAAAAGGTCAGGTGTAAATGCAAGTGTTTCTTACAGTACAGATAGAAACTTGAGAAATGTCTGACTCATGGTCCTTCTTACAACTACCAAAACCAATTGCACGGGGTAAAACTTCTTTACATTTTTCCTTTTTTAGACACATAAAATCCAGCTCAATTAAGAGGGGAATCCATTGTCCAGCTGTTTAGAAAGTGTGTGTTATAGCTTCCTCTGATTTTGTACAAAACTACAAAATAGACCTACATCATCCCCTCGCTATCAATAGGCTGCTCAGCTGCCTAAGGTCAAGCATACATACAACAAAGTTCTGCTTTGACATGTATTCAATTTAAGCTTAATTATAAATATACTGTATGTTTTAAAAAAAAAAAATTGCTTTTATTCTTCCAAGCAGAAGAAATTGTATAATTGTTTCAAAAATGTGTAAAAACCATATATACAAATCAAATAAGGATACAACCTACAAACTGCTCTAGCAGGCAACGTAGAAAAACACTGTGTCGGTGTTGTGCATGATGTATCTTGATCAAATGTTATTGGTGAGTTTAATCTTGCCTTATTTTATCTATCTAAAAACTAAGCTGGCTCCACATTTCAATTAAGAGATACTTGTGACCAGAGAGCTATTCATCCCATCTGTCTTGGACATGTATCTTGAACTGGAATGAACTGACCTATGGAGGTCCATTGACTACTGAAGGATCCTATTTTAGGACTTCTAAAATTAGGTTCTGACTATAAATTAAAAGAAAACATAAAGACTCCTTTTTCATAAGTATAGCTGAATTATATTTAATCAAGAATGTTATTTCAAATACCTACAATTAATGTGAAAGAATACAGGAAAAGAACAGTGTTCAATTAAGCCTGGACTAAAGTAATGTTTTTTAATGGAGCTAGGTAAAACTGAGCTTTAATATTCTCATTTTTTAAAACTACTCTTAGATGGAGTTGCTGATGCCTATGGCTATGCTAAGGCACTACTGGTTGAGAATTGATGTAAAGTAAAACAGACAAAACTGAACACCGTGATTTTTTTTCATGCACATTTGCCAGTGAATTGGAACACCTAATGCAAGATAAGTGGTTGTACACGCTTCTTATGTGAAAACTCAACTTGGATAAAAATGCTGACGATACTGAATAGTCTCAAAGTTTTACACTAATGTGCAAGTACAAGACTGTACTGGAAAATTTAGGGTGGCTCTTCCTAGGGATAATAAATGGTTGTCTACAATACAGAGCTTTAGAAAAATCTACCTGCAAAAAAATATTTCTCATTTGGGATTCAATACAGCCACAGAACTGCATGTTTGGCTTGTCAGTGGTAGATATGTTTCCCGAGAATATAAGATGGAGGGTTTTACTTGATGACTGAGAGATCAATACCATCATCCATGATGTTAATGATTAAGTATTGCCTATCTTGAAAACATACCTAACTCTTGTTATAAGGGTTCTTGCAATTTCACTGAAAACCAACAACAGTATTGATCACCTTTTAGGACTCATGAAAAACGTTGATCGATGCAAATTTCTCCATAAAGGAAAGGTTGAAGAGTAGAAATTGGGGTAAGGCTACTCCATACAGATGAATGATGTGTGATAGAAATATTGATACCTGGGTAATGGCTTGACAATTTTCCTTTATGGCCTTTGCCTGGAGTACTCATCCTAGTGCAGGTAAAATGTATGAAGGGCCTTTGTAGTAGCAGCAGCACATCAGTTCGATATTCAATATAAAGTCTCATAGGAATGTGGCAGGTGACATAATATTTCAGAGTTGTTAGGTATAATCCTGGCACCTAAGAATAAGCTGATTCATTAGGGCATGTTTTCTAACCAGTGTGTGCTTTTTTTGAGATGGTAGGGTAGGATATGACTTAGCTTATAGGGGTATTGTCTGTTCTGCATTGAATTTGCTGGAAGGATGTGGCTCAGATTTTGGTGAGGCACCTGGAATGGAAAGTAGCAGAAGAAGGGTCCATGGTACATGTCTGCATTAGGGTTTCCCAAGACAGCCACTGTGGACACAAATGAAAACTCAGGTGTTGCTGCTAAAAAAAGGCTGGGAAGATGTCACCAGGCAAACACGGATATTTGAGGAGAGACATGACCTGTCACATATGAAACACCCTTAGCTTACTATAATCACATTGGAGAAAGGGATCAGTTAATACCTAGAGGTGCTCTCAGATGGCAGTGCAGTACAAAATACGAACCAAGGATGTAGAACAACCAGCATTCCCCATATGCTCTGCATCTCTTCCAAAAGCTGGTGTCGATTAACAGTAATAATAACCTTAGAGTTGTTACCTGCTGCTTCCACTGGACGTACCTCCTGCCTGTAGATTTTCATAACGTTTCTTGGGTGTGTCCCTTGCACAAGATGAGCTACCTATCTTGAAGATATGTCGGATTTCATGGCATAGATTAATTGGGCCCCATAACTTCAGCCACTTTTGAGATAACCCTAGTTCGTGTCTGCAGCATTCCTCTGGACTTTCTGAATTTCCAAAACTTCTCTGTAAAGGCTTTGAGGATTCCTAACCTTCGACATCAGAGGTGACTGAGCAGCAAAATCATCACAGAACAAACAAAAAACCCTTGTTCCCATTCAGCACAAAAGCTTGCCTCGGTCATTGGAATACACATGAAGTTCAGCACCTGACGAGACAGTCCACCATGGTGCTACGGTTTGGAGCTGGAAAATCCTGTGGTCTTCTGAAACGATGTGGTTGAATGACAGTATCTTCATCACGGCTTTCCACAAATCTCCAAATGCTGAGACTATTTAATTGCTCTGCCTCACCCATCAAACCATAGATGTGGCTGTGTTAGAATGGGATAAATACGGAGCTGGGGCAGAGGATTATTCCTCCTTGGTTTCTGTTATGCTGACAACATCTGAGCATGGACCATGGCATTTGAGGAGGTAAGAAATCTTTGGGTTTTACCTCATTAGGGGCCCAACCGAGGGAAACTTAGCCCTGCCAGAGGGGATGGTTCCATAGCAGGCCATGGGGTTTCTCAGCATGCATTGGTACTTTCATCTCTCTCATTTTGCCTAGGATCCAGGTGGATGCCTCCAGGAGCAGGTGAAGAAGCCAGGTCTCTAGATGAGGCACTCTGTCACTGAAAATTCCGTTCCCTCCTCCTCTCACTTGCAAAATAAGCAATGCAGGTCAGCAGAGAGCACTCTGTTGGCATGCTGTGCGCTTAGAAGCGGTAAGGCTGTGGGTTCTTACTAATGTGAGGATATGATATTGATTATTTCTTTTTCA